CTAGCAACGGAATCCTCTCGGGCGTTGTTACCTGAGGGGCTATCAGTCTGGCGCGGCCGCCGCGGAAACCCGATGAAGGGAAGGTAGTCCCCGCCCACCCTCAACTCGCACGCTTGCTGGGCTCCATCTTCCAAGGCTCGCAACGTGCCCGGTGGTGATAAGAACCTCCTGGGGCCACTTCAGTTTTCTTTTCACTGGCGTTTGAAGCACGGATTATGTTATTGAGATAAGCAGGAAGAGGAAATTAAAATCACCGAAGGCAACATTCTTGCTGCGAGCTCCAGAATTGACAGCAGGTGATTGCAGTGAGGATCACCTGGCCGACGAGAGGGACTGGTGCTAACATCAGAGCCCTGGGACATCACCGCCCCTCTTCACTGAGCCTTGTTTCTGAGTGGGCTTTGGTGTCCTGCTTGCGGCAGGGAGAACATGTCCCTTGCGGCCAAGGACCTGATTTGGACTCCCTACCCTTCTTGTTATGAGAAAATCAGGTTTTTGTTTTTGTTTGGTTTTGGTTTTGTTTAAAAGAAAGGAGTTGATATATATGGAGATTAGTGGTTGCCAGGGGTTAAGGAGGAGATGGGGGCTAAAGGGAAGTGGGTGTGATTGTGAAAAGGAAACAGTAGAGAATCCTTGCAGGAATGGAAATATTCTTTATCTTAACTATATATGAATATCCTGGATATATGCTATACTATAGTTTTGTGAGATGTTACCGATGGGGGAAGTGGGTAAAGGGCAGACAGAATCTTTCTGTGTAATCTATTAAAATTGCCTGTGAATTCACTAAAAATAAAAAGCTTAGAAAGTGGCAAGGACTTGGATGCTAAAGATGCTGTTTTTTTACAAGTGAGTTTGGCATCCTGGTTCCCAATTTTTCACTATGGAGGGCCTTTTTTCACATGACAGTGTTCTGTTAGCACTTGAGGAGACTGTGCCTCTGCCCCAGTCAGATCCCTTGGTTCATGACAATACAGGAGCGGAATAGGACCAAATGTCTTCATGAGCTCCATCCAGCCCTGGAGCAGGGGCAGCTGGTGCCTAGGCTCACCATACAGGCCACGGTGGCTTTCTTACAGCAACACTACAAATGCCAAGTCTATGTCCCAGCAACTTTGCAAATTGCTATTTATTGGGTCACTGAGCCTTGAGGTTGTTTTCAAACTCAAGAAAGCAAAGGGTCCACCCTGTTTGGACTCCATGCCCACCAAACTGTTCATTCTTTTTCCCAGTTTTAACAATGAACTCAGTAACTGCCAATCAGATCTTCAGTCAGTAGAACTGGTATTACCAAATGAGGAGCCAAGACGGTTGATGACAAAAACATTTCTCTTTGGCTTTACCCAATCTTGAAAATAGCAATAAAACAACTCCTTTACCCCCATGCTTTACTTTGACCAGGAGTCCAGCAGGCAGGGGTGCACAGATGGAGCTGGAGCTGGGACTAATGGTAGATATAGAGAATACAGTTGCTCTGGAGAGTGAGAAGGAATCCTGGCTGTGACCCAGTGCTGGACTGCAGCCAGGCTGCCAACACCAAGTAAATGCCTCCTTCACACACAAGGTTCTGGGGTTTGAAGGACAGATCTGCACCCTCAATGTACCCTCCCCCTCTTGTCAGGTAGAATGGGGAAGGAAATGGCCAGAGGGAACCTTTGGCTCTTAATCCCACCCCAGTCAATTTTTGCCCCACTCTTCTGCATGCTACTTTATTTGGTGGGTAATAACTGTTCTCCTACCCTTGTTTCATCTCTCCTGGTTCTTTTCCCATTTTAGGGTTTTGATTCTCTACGCTGAAGCATCTAAAACCCAACAGCATATCTGCCAGGAATCACCAGCATAGCTCCTGGTGTTTATCTCTGCCTCCCAATTTGCCAACCTGGAAATAGTCCAGCGCTGCTGGTCCTGCCTGTCGATTCCCATAATGAAACAGGCAGCACTGGTGCTTGGGTTCAGGCTGCTGTTGGAAAGTTGCAAAGGAGACAGGCAGCAGCCCAGGACTATTTTCCACAGAACCAATATGGCATAGATGCCTCCTCACAGCTCTGCTGGCCAGAAATGTGTCCAGACGCCACATCCATGTCCACAGGATTCTGTCAGGTGGAGGGAGAGGAGACCCACCCCCTCCACCACCAGGACCCAGGGACTTGGAAACCTCAGCCACAGAGGACGAGTTTGCTGAACGGCCTAGAGGCCCTAGAGAGCCTCATAGCTTCCAGGGCCACCCAGCCTCTCAGGGGAGGAAGCCGGGCAACAAGGACATGACATAGGCCTTGGGACAGCCACAATCCTCACAGGTGGGCCATGGCCAGAAGGCTGGCCAAAGGTGAGGCCTCAGTGGTCCTTCCCGAGGTGGCCTTGGGAGTCAGCAGCTGCCCAGATGGGAAGTGTCAGGGTGCGCCCAGCCCCAAAAAGGGACTCTGGAGCTGCCCTGGCAGGGATGCGTGGTGGTCCACAGGCAGCCAGCTCCCAAATCATGGTCTGGCGAGGCTTTGATGGTGCAGAGGCCAGGCTGATGAAGCTGACCAAGGGCTGTACTTCAGGCCATGGGCAGGTTGATATTTGCCTTCAGGGTCCACGACACCTAAGGCAGAAAGCAAGCAGAGGAGGGGAGAAGCAGCAAAGGAAAAGCCCCCAGATCCCCAACTCACACCACCCATGGTCCTCCTGTAAGTGTGTCACAATTCACTTCACCTCAGATCTGCTGAGGCTCCTTCCCCTGGTGCCAAGCCCCTCCTGGGAGAGCCCCCGCCTCGCAGGGGAATGATGCATTCATTTCCTTACTGCTGCCATTAACAAATCACCACAAACCTAGAGGCTAAGAACAACACAAATGTACAACTTTACAGTTTTAGAGGCCAGAGTTCTGGTATGGGTTTCACCAGACTAAAAATCAAGGTATCTGCAGGCTGTGTTTCCTTCCAGAGGCCCAGAGGAAGAATCTGCTTCCTACTTAATGCAGGCTGTGAGAATTCCGTTCCTTGCTGCTCTGGGACTGAGGTCCTCGTGTCCTTGCTGGCTGTAAACCGAGGGTGGTTCCCAGCTTCTAGAGGCCTCTTCGTTCCTTGGATCATAGCCCACTTTCTCCATCTTCAAAGCCGGCAAGGCTCTGAGATGTGAATTACCTGCCTTTCCCGACCACCTTAAGGAGTCATGTGATTACACTGGGCCCTCCAGATGTCCTCCCATTTCAACATGCTTAACTTTAATAACATCTGCAAAGTACCCCTGCCATGTAGGGTAACACAGTTGCAAGGTTCCAGGGATGAGGCATGGACATCTGGGGGCACATTATTCTTCCTGCCACATCACCTTCATTTTACAATCCCGAGAGGCTTAATGACTCGCTCAAGGTCACAGAGTAAATGGCCAAGCCAGGTCTCAAACCCAGGCCTCCTGACTCCCACCCAGTCCACTATTCTTAACATTATAGCATCTGCCATGACTGCAGCCCCCCGGCCACCCAGTGTGCACACCAGGGCACAGACATCCACCCCTCCAGACTCAGGATCTGACAGACACCCACAGACACAGACCCACACAGTGCTGTTTGGGAGTACAAGGAGCCTTCCTTTATGGAAGGCCCCAGGGCCTCTGGTTTGCTGAGGGATAAGAGGACAAAGAAAAGAGATCAGATTTAAGGCCCAGGGGAGGGTGAGATTCAAGCAGGACAGCTCACTCCCATCCACTCCCCAGCCTATGACCCTGCCCACCTACCCCCATCTAGCGCCCAGCAGGTTGTGGGAGAGCAAGGGCTGGAGGGTTTGGAGGGGCTGTTGGGCTCCCTGGGGGATCCCTCTGACCAGGGACCACTGGATTCCCATCAGTCTGAGGGGTGGCTCAAGACACACAGCTTAGGGCTAAGGTAGCGCTCCTGGGCCAGGGGGACCACTGTGACCCTTTGGGTTCCAGGGGCACAAAAATGGGAGACACCCAATCAAACCCTTGGCAGGGCCATGGTGCTACAGCAGAAACTCAAGACAGCTTTCCTCTGAGTGTCACAGACCCACGGCCTAATCTGTGCCCAAAGCAACCAGGCATCACTGGACACATGAAAAGGCCAGAAAATTCTAGATAAAGGGAGAGAGAGCAGAATGCCCCTTCAGCTCCTGTCAACACAAGTCAGGAAACAAGCCCTGCAAAAGAGGGGCTAGTGAGGTATGTGTTCTGACACCCAGAGCCTAAAGTCACCCACACCCTAGAGGCCCTCAGCTCTCACCTGGCATCCTGTCCACCATCCAGCAGCTCCTCAGGGGACACTGAAGCCATGTCTGCTCTCAGAAATCACTCATGTCACCCCAACAAAAAGAATGCAAAAACTAAAGCCACGTCCTCCTCTAGGATAGGGGTCCGCAGGTCTGAGTCAGAATTCCAGCTCAGTGGGGAGCCCTTCATATGCCTGTTCCATCTAAGGAAGCCCCCCTCCTGACCCCCAGGAAGAACCACTGAGGAAGGGCTCTGGGGATGGACAGAGGAGCAGCACTCTTCAAGCTAAGGAGGGAAGGGGATAGGGAAGCAGGCAGGGAGAACAAGAAAGCCAGTCAGTGCACAAGCATTTACAGGTGCTAAAAGGAAAGGGGTAGAAAAATGCAAGACACCTTAACGTGGGCCACCCTCCACCAGGAAGGGTAACAAGCACATGAGAAATGGATGGAGCCCACCGACTGAGGACAGAGAAGGCTGACCCCACTGGGAGAGAGAGACAGAGTCTTGAAATTGGCACAACCAAGGGAGCTGGATGGGGAGCAAGAAAGGCTGCCTAATGACAACAGGATTTGCTTTCCACAGGAACCAGAAAACATTCAGAGAAAACCATGTAAAGGAAGCATCACTTCCAGGCTGAGCAAGGAGAATGGCTGAATGTACTCCACCCCCCAAAAGGCAGTCAGCCAGCAGGGAAGTGCGGCGGCCAGGCCTCTTCTCCACACCCCGACCCAACATCATCCTCAACTCAAGTACAGAGGCAGAAGCCCAGGCCAAAGGCATGATGAGTTTCTGAAGCAGGGTTTAAACAGACTTTATTGTTACAAGGGGGGCCCTACAGAGCAGGGCCTTATAAACTGATAATATGTGGTCCCAGGATGTCACCATGGAGAAATGGAGAGGTCATGACTGCAGAAGAGGTCACTGTAACTGAAGGACATGATCCAGGGGAGGCCGGCCAGGAATGCAGCAGACATGATCAGGACAGGCCAGGGGGTGGTCAGGTCACAGGGTGAGGGGGAGGACAGCTCCCTTCACCCCCGCTTCGTGTAGCTGTCCATGTGCGACAGGACCCAGCCGGACGGCAGGAGGAAACACAGGAAGCAGGAGGTGAGCCCAATGGCGATATCCTAAACAGAGCACAAGAAAGAAGGAACCTCCACAGTAAGGATTCCCCAGGCTTCTCAGTTTGAGCAGTCTTCCCAGACAGCAGAAAGCCCCCCTCAAGGAGTCAAGATTCAGGCTCCAGAGCAGGGACATAGCAGATGCAAGGTTCACTCTAGGCCTCGAGGTAAAGGGTTACATATGGGGCCTGGGTTAGGATCCGTGGAGAAATCCACCACCAGATGATAAACCGAAGGGACAGGAACAAGGATTCAAACCTGTTTTACAGCTGGTCTGTTGAGACCCAGGAACCTCACTTGCACAGACAATTAACTCTAAAAATGCATCTCCCCTTCTCCTTGCCTCAAAAAGCTCTCCCTCCCCAAACCTTCAGGACTAGAGCTAAGACTTTTTGCAGCCACTTCTATATTCCCTATAGCAGTTAAGATCACAGCACGACTTGGAGTCAGACTTAAGTTCAAATTCCTTCTTTGCCACTTAAGTGTGACTTTTGACAAGTCAATACACTGCTCCTAAACTTCAGTTCCTTCAAACACCAAATGGAGATAACGACCCTTTCCTGGGGTCACTGGGAGGAATGAATGGGACCTCTCAGCACAGTGCTTGGCACACAGCAGGCACTCAACGGACCCAGCTGCAATTTCTGTCACTATTATTTCCTCAATCGCAGCACTTTCTGGGCTCTGCTCCTAGCTGGAGGCCCACTAACCTGGACTCTGAAGACTCGCATTCAAGGTCGAGTTCTGCCAGAGGCAAATGCAGAAAAGTGCCAAACAGGTGAAAGTCATTAAGGGTTAAACTTTCCCACGTTTCTGGGAATTACAAAGACCTACCGGAGTCCTCTCTGCCCCCAATAATTAATAGCGGTAACAGTTATAGCGCTGACAGTCGTCAGGCATCCCCCAAGGAACCGATGGGTAAACAGGCTCAGAGAGGGTAAGGAAGCTTGCTCAAGACTGCACAGCGAGTAAGCGACAGAGCTGGGCAGACAAGTTCTGAGCATAGATTCTGAGGCTGAATGAACACCGACTGTCGCCTGGACACCGTCCCCTCGTTTGCGCCCTGCAGACAGGCCCAAACCAGTACTGCCTCTCCCCATTACGCTGCGGGCTGAGAGGTGCAGGGCGCTTTCGGGGCCGCTGAGGTCCAGCGCCCCAGACCCGGGACCCCCATGGGTCTCCCATGCCCTTCCTGGCCCGCTCCTTACCATGGTCCCGAGCTGCTCCCGCGCAGGCCTGGAATGGACCTGGGCACGCGGCACCGGGAGCCGCCGGGCCGAGCCTGTCAGGCCCCTCAGCAGCAGCGGAGTCAGTATAGACATGACCGCACCGAGTAGACTGCAGACAGCTGGCGGTAGGAGCCCAAGGTCGCGAAGTCAAAATGGCGGCCACGACCGGAAGTTCCGGAGCCGTAGAGGCCCTGGGAAAAGGGCGTCCCGGAAGTCGTCCGGAAGTGACGTAAGGACACACCTCCCGCCCACTCTCGTCAGTTTTTGGCGCCTTCCTCAAAACAACCAATCGAAGCCAGCCTACCACCGATGGGCGGGGCGCGGAGGGGCTTTCCTTTCGTGTATGCGCCCGCCCCCAAAATGGCCCATCTTCGTGAGTGACAATCGTGGCCACTCAATCACGTAAGCCAAAAACGCAGGTGGCACTCTTGACTCCTCCCTCCATTCGTGTCTTAAATCTCTCTATTCAGTAATCCCCTCTCCCCGCCAGGCCTCCACTATTTCTGGCCAGAAAGCCTGGCACTAACCTCCTAACTGAACTCTCCTCATTTACTATTACTCTCTCCAATTCCAGTCTCCATGCAGTAGCAGCCGACCTTCTTCCCTTTTTAAACATAAATCTAACCAAGTCATATACTTACGTAAAAACTTTGTGGCTCCTCTTACTAGACAAAGTCCCGATTACTGGATGTAATTCTCCAGCGTCATCTCTAAGTATTCCACACCTTCCTCCTTGCTCTCTCTAATCCTCCCCCACCATCCAGCCTTTTGCTTCTTTGTATCTTATGTACCACTGGACACTTTCAACTGGTACCTACCTAGCCTTCCTTTTTCACCTCTCCAATTCCTACTTCCAGGCCTCCACTTACTGATATAGCTTACTTTATTCAACAAATATTTACTAGCCCCTACTGTGTTCCAGAAACTGTTCTAGACACGTTGTGAACAAGGTGGACAAGGACTCCCTTATCACAAAACTGACATTCCAGAGGGGACAGATAATATATGAACACTTAATGAGAAGCTAAATTGCCATGATATGGTACAGTGACAGGGGTGGTACTGCCTTAGGAAGCCTTCCCTGGCCACCCCAGGCCTGTGTCGCCTCTGCCCAGCAGCTCCTGTGATAGCACTGCCCACAGGAGTGGTCTTCATCCCTCATGGGGGCCATCTGAGGGCAGAGCCTGTATCTGGTTCTCCACTGTCTCCAAAGGACCTGGCACACACTTAGAAACTCAGAGAACGTTTATACATTGCAGGAGAATGAACAGTAGGTAGAATACAACAGGAAAGAGGTGAGGGGCCAGCCAGGGAGCCAGGCTTACCTGTATGACTCATTTCACCTTAACAACAATGTCCTGAGGGAGACACTATTATTATTTCAGATGTTTTACAAATGAGGTAATAAGCCTGGAGAACTGGGTGACCTGCTCAAGGTCATGCAGCTCCAAGGCCACCTAACCAGGATTCCAGGGCAGGTTTATCCACTCCAAAAGTCATGCTTTTAACCACCAAAGTAGCTGCTGCAAAGAGGGAGAATTTCTAGAAGTTCCAGGTTTTGTTTTTTATTTTTTTTTTACATTTTTTTTGCGTGGGAGGTCATTAGTTTTGTTTGTTTGTTTATTAGGTGTTTTTTGGTTTTTTTATGGAGGTATTGGGGGCTGAGCCCCAGACTTCATGCATGCTAAACATGCATTCTACCATTTGAGCTATACCCTCCCCACCCAGAAGTTCCAGGTTGATATCATGGTCAATGGCATCAAAGGCTGCAGCAGGGAATGGGGGTAAGGAGAGGCAGCAAGAGACAGGGGAAACAGGAGCTTTGGAGGAGCAACCTCAGCCCCATGGGAGCAGGGAGGCATGCCCACAGAAAAGTGGGAATGGACCCAGAGTGCCCAAAAGGGTGGGCTTTGCCTGTGCTTCTTTTGGAGGGATGGGTTCCCAGGACCTGAGCTATCCAGGGCCCTTCTCCACCCCTCCCCATCTCCCCCACGCCATTCGTGGGTATTGTTAATGTCCAGTGGTCTTGGTCCGGCCTCACCTTCAGCAACCAGGCCCCCTGCCCTCACTCTGCCCTGGGTCCTGGCAAACAACCCAGCACAGATGCTTCTAAACACCCTCCTCCCACCTCCCAAGGGGCACAGCCTAGGCACATAGGGCTGGGAGGCCAAGGCCCCAGCTGCCTGCCCCTGGGAGAAGGGACAGGGACTTCCCTGTGGCCCTACTGGGCTTTATCAGGCCTTTGTCCTGTGAACAAAGTAATAACCCCCAGGTTAGAGCACTGTGCAGGAGAGGCCTGGAGAGACTTTGGGAAGGGACAAGCCTTTCTGTGTTTCCCTGGGTTACTCCCTTGAGGAACTGCATATTCATCTCCTCCTATGTGGCTGGAGGAAAAGGAGTGAACATTTGTCAAGCAGGTACATCTATGCTGTTCCAGGGCTTTCCTCACAGCCCCTGTGATGAGACTTCTTTCAGAACTCGAGTCAGAGAGGAGGAAAGAGGCTGGCAGATGTTAGGTAATGCAGCTGAGTCTACAAACGCCAGGAAGGGTTTGCGCCTAGGTCTGTTGGATTAATACCAACATCTCTGCTCTTCCCCCCTCCTCCAGCAGCCATCCTTCCCCCAAACTAGGGGGACAGTCCCTCAACAAGAGAGCAGTGAACTCTGGTGGTGGTTTATACAACGACACACTATACAGCAGTGAAAATGAACAAACTACAGCTACAACACAGGTGGTTCTCACAAGCATAATGTTGAGCAGCAGAGGCCAGACGTACAAGAGCACAGACTGTGTGGTCCCATTTATATAAAGTGCAACAACAGGGAGGACTAAGCCAGGCAGGGTGGGGGCGGGGTAGGTAGTGGGGATCCTGGGGGAAGAGAAAGGTCACAGGGACAGGAGAGGCACGACGGGGCTTCTCGGTGCTGGTTACTCGAATGTGATAATTCTGTCATGAGTGGCTAGACAGTCACGACTGTGCTCTTTTTTTATGCCTGTTACATTTCTATTTAAAAAAGTTTGAAAACAGATAAGAAAAAAGCAAGGAAAACAATGTGTCATATGATCTTGTTTTTTGAAAACAAAGAAAAATATCTAGAGAAATAGATATGCAAATATGAAGGAAAAGCCCAGCTGGGCTAACTCATAAATATGAAGTTTAGTGTCAGTCTATTGGGCTAACGAGCTCAGTCACAAATCTAAGTGTGATAAGTGTCGGTTTACTGATATAAGTTCTGCTGGGTTAACTCATAAATCTGAAATTTAGTGTCAGTTTACTGGACTAACAAGCTAACTCATAAATCCAAGCTCAACAAGTGTCAGTAACGTGATCTGTTCCGAATTGATAAGCTTCAGCGTACTGATTCCTTACTTTTTGTTGTTTGAGCCTTATTGGCTAATAGCCCATACTTGTAATTAACCCTGTAAAACCTCATGTGCACGTCTTGGAGGTGCTCAGAGCTTCACAGCAGAAGCCCCTCTGAGCCCGCCGGCGTAATACATCTGAGTACTCCAACCCTCCGTGTGGTGCTTGTTTCTTGGCTGGTCTGTCATTTCCGTAACACATAGATACAAGTTTGGAAGGACACACAAATTCACAAATTCACAAATTGTGAACAGTGGTGTTCTCTAGATGGTGGTGGGAAAACGGGTCATTGGTTTTTTTCTGCTGCATTTTCCAAGACTGCACATTGGGCACTTCTTTTGGCATTAGAATAAGCAAGAAAGGAGAGGGAGGTCTGCCCCATGGGTGACAGACTCTCTGGGAGGCGGGGATCTTGGACAAGCTTCCACGGGCAGGGAGCTCCTCTAACATCCTGGCATCTGCTCGCTGTCTGCTAGGACGTGGAGCTCATTCCCACACCGCAGGACTGTCCATTATGCTTGGATTGCTGGGAGTCTCTCCTGCATCAAGGTGAGGCTTAGGGATCCCAGCCTGGGTCCTGGCTCTGATCCAAAGGTCCAAGCTGTCCATCCCTCCACCCACTCCCCTTCCCCTAAATGGGGCAGTAGGAATAGATCCCAAGCCTTGGGGATGGGTCGGGGAGCTGATCCCTACTGCTGAGACCAGCCTCACAGTCCAAGCCTCCAGTTTCTGATGGTCATATATGGGCTGGGAAGATCCCAGGTGCCCCATCCCAGAGCAGACCCCCGGACCCCAATGGCCATATGTGGGTTAGAGAAACACTGGATACCCCTGGCCCCTGTCCATTAAAGGCTCTGGCCCAACAACTACTCTCTTCAAATATGGAGCTATGAGTCCTGGAGAAGGGGACAGACCTCAGCCCTATGGGGCAGCAGGTATAAGTCCCTCAGCTGCCCGCCCCCGCCACCCCCAAACACACATACCTTCTGGACTTTGTCACCTCACAGAACATCTGACATAGGGCTGTCCAAACCTGACCTAGGGGTTTCCAGTTTCCTCACCTGGCCTAAACTCCCCTCTTGGCATGTCAAGTGAGTGCTGGGCACTGAGCCCTGGGGCTGGCCAGGGAAAGGGCTGTGGGGAGAAGGAACCCACCCTAGGGCTCTGAGAGCAGCTGCGATTCCCTATAGGCCTGTGGGGACTGTCTGCCTGGGGTGGAGGTAGCAGCAGAAGGTCTTTGTAGAGCCTCAGGAAGGGCCCAGTGTCCAAAGGATGAGGATTCAAGGAGGGGATTTATTTTAATCTTTGCAGTAACTCAGCAAGGGATGTGTGCCTGCTTCCTTGATGAGGAAACAGGCAGAGGGAGGTTAGATAATTTTCAGGGTCACAGAGCCAGCGAACAGAATTCTCAAAGAGGTCTTTCTACCGCCTTCTCCCTCTCCTCCCCCGACACTGCACACCCCGTGAGGTAGAGGAGAGGGCATATCTGCTTTATTTGCTGATGTAGACCCAGTGCTCAGTAAACGCTAGGTACTCAGTTCATACCTGCTGAACGAATCCTCCAAGATTCAAATCCAGGTCCTTCCACTATCTCAACTAAATGTACGTGGCACTTGTTATAAAGTGTGATGAAACGTTTTCATGTGCAGCTGTGAAACTCCTCCTTGCTCGTCCTGTCAAAGTAGTAATCTTCACATGCAGTCCTATGATTATTAGGGCTTCAGAGAAATTACAAATGGGGGCTTTCATGCAAAGTCCAGTAGGAGAAAGGGGCAGGAGGAGATGGCCCTGGTCTGGGTTGTCCTCAGCAAGAAGCAAGGAGCCCCTAGTGCAGGGGTGGGACGGGGCGGAGCAGGGTCCCAGAAGGGGCATCTACTCTTCCTGGGGCACAGCTGTCATCAGGCGCCAGATGTTGGTTGAGGGTGTGGGGCAGGCCAGGACACAGCTGTTGGGAGTGGGGCAACATGGGAGGGTGGAGGCTGGGGTGCTGCCCTCCCCAGGGCGACACAGCTATCAGAGCCTAGGCACCTGGCAGCTGGCTGGAAAGGTGCAGCTGCCAAGGCACAGGGAGGCTGCGGGCTGGGGGGCTGGTGGCACCTACCAGGAGCCAGGCGGTAGTTAACCCCTTTCTGCCTGCAGCCCCCAGCCAGTAGCCAAGTGTAATGAGACAGCTCCTGTGTGATAATGGCTCAGGCTTGGCAAAGGTCACCCACACCTGTGGTGGGCAGGGTAATCAGGTCTCCAAGTCTCCCTGCCCCTGCCCCTGCCCCCATAGTGCAGATGGGTAAACTGAGACCCACAAAGGAGTCAGGCTGCTAGGCTGGATGACCCCCAAGCACACCTAAGGCCTCTCCTCCCCAGTCCCCCCAGGACATCATGGTGGGCTTGGGCCAGAAGGATTTATATGCAGCCGAGAGGTCAGGGGCAAAGGCAGCATCCTGACGCCCAAGCACCCCAAGGAGCCTGGCATCATCACCAAGTAGGACGCCGTGGAGAAGACCTGCCGCCATAGCTTCTACAACAAGTAGTGTGTGGCCCAGGAGGAGCACCAGGCACTGCTCGCCAAGGTCCCACCCACCTCAAAGGCCAACGGCAAGGTGACGATGACCCAGGTCATGTTCAAGACGGTAAAACTTCCTGCCACATAGGTGGCTCTCCAAGACCTTGCTGAAGCTGTATGTCTCTGGCTGCACCAGTGAGGACCAGTCTCACCCCTACCGTGCTGTGACCTCTAGACCAACAAAGCAACCTACAATTCCATCATGGAGTGCGACACCGACATCTGCCAACAACATCCTGTCTGGGCATAAGACCACGTACCAGGGTACTGCAGACGGATGCAGACCCTGCCCTGGCCCCCAGCACCATGAAGGTCGGGGGAAGGCTCCCAACTGCTGGGGTCTCCGGGGCAGATGGCTCTTCCTCAGGAAGCAGAAACTCAGCCTCTCAAGGCCTCTGCGGGGGAGGCAGCCTGGGGACGGCAGGGACTTGGGAGTCGGGGAGAAAGCTGAGTTCCCTGGCTCACTGCTGTCTTCCTTAGCTCTCCTGAGCTTCAGATCACCTGTCAGGTGGGGACAGCACCTCCTACCCTGGGTTCAAATCTTGGCTCTTATCACCAGGACCACGGACAAATTACTATACACTCTGGGATTCTCAACTTATCTCTAAATTGAGAATAATACCACCAAAATGGAACAGGGTTGTTGTAAGGATTAAATGAGGTGACAGAAGCAAGAGAGCATTCCGGTGCCTGGCACACAGCAGGCACTAAGTGTGGGGGCTGCTGGCACCGCAGGGGCTCACTGTGCCACTTCCTTCCCCACCGCAGCCAAGTAACACGCCTGCATCAGGCCGTCCAGTCTCCAAGGGGCCAGACTGCCCCAACTGCCCCAGACTCGGGACCTCAGGTGGTGTAGAAATGGCCTCTGTTGCACTTAGAGGGAGAAGCAAAAACAACTAGAATGAACGTGCCCTTGTTTGAAATGACGGCTTTCAAAGCCTGGCAGTACCCATCCGGTGAGCAGGTTTCCCGCACTGGGGAAGCCCGCCCCTCTCATCCAGCAACTGTGCCTCTTGCTCCACCCGCTCCCTGAGGAGGTGGCGTTCCAGCAAGTGCCACTTGAGTGAAGAAGTCTGAGCTGCAGCTAGGGGAGCAGTGAGACAGCAGCAGGAGGCAGCCATTGTGGGGGACCAAGGAGGGGACCCGGCCACTTGGGAAGGTGGGAGCGGAGGGTGTAGCTCAAGCCCCCCAACCCTTCCAGCTCTGGCCACCCACCCTGCAGCAAGGGAATGGCCATTCAAGGAATTCTTTCTGGGAATTCAGTCCTCAAGGAGCAAGAATTTGGGGGGCAGACTTTGGCACATGAAGACTCTCTCTTTTCCCAAGGACCATGATGCCTCCTTCATGTCGCCAAGGTAAGACAGCTGCACAAACCATCTCCTGGCTGTGCCCCGGCCCGGGGCTAAGGCCGTAAGACACTAGCACCCACAGGATAGCTGTTAACCCTGCTCCTCTTTCCCCAGATCACCGCCCCACCAGAGCACAAATCCTCCGTGTGGCTTGGGGCCCTTTCCACCTTCCAGCCGACGTGATCACCAAACAGCAGCATGAGGATGCTGGCCCTACCAGTGTCCACAAGAAGTGCTTCTGAGCCCTGGCTCGCAACCCACTTCCTGCCTCTGCTCCCGGCTCACCCGGGGCCAGGCACAGGCAGAAACCCGCCTGGGAGAGAGGCTGCACAGCTCCATCTGCCACACTCGGGGGGCCGGAGGACCCTTCCCCAGCTCATAACTTTCCTGCCCTGTCAGGCCTGACATGAGCTACCCTTCCTTTGGGCCTGTGTCTTTTGTGAGGGGAGGGAAGAGGGCGTTGGAGTCTTTTTAAGAGACAAAGAATATTCTGAGTGACCCAGTAAAGTAAAAGGGAGGAAAGAAACAGACACTCTCGTCTATTCAACTCCCACACAAGTGCTCTGGGACCTACGTTTAGCCACAGATGTCAAATGTCACACAACGCCTGGCTTGGGACTCTGCTATGTGCAGAGGAGGCGCCCCTCAGCAGGAGACCTTTGACCTCTACCCAGGGTTCCTGGGAAGTGGCACAGGCGCCTCAGCAGAAGACCTTTGACCTCTACCCAGGGTTCCTGGGAAGTGGCACAAACACACGCGTTCGGTCTCAGTTTCCACGTCTGGATGCTCGCCCCAGACACCAAGGTTTTTCTCAGCTTGAAATTTCCTTCATGAGAAGGGGTGTGGGGCCATGCCAGCTACATGCCCCTCCGTGGTTTAGGCCCAACACAGGGCACCCCAGCATCAGGAGCTGTCCTAGCAGCTGAGCAAAGTGTCTTTTATTTGTGACATACAAATACAACCAATGCGAAAAGAGATCACTTTTTCCCTTTGATTCCAGTGATAACAGATCGCTAAAGAAAAAAAATATATATATCAAGGAGTTTATCTTCAACACATCCTCTAAAAAAACAAAACAAAACAAAACCAAGGTTAAAAAGAACCATATGTGTGTCATATACACATCTGACATCAACGAAAATAACCTGAAATAGGGTGGATACAACTGAAAAAAAATTCCAAAATTAACATTTTAACATGCCCCAAACAATAAACAAAAAAAGCGTGGTACAAGAGGCCTGCTAGGTTTCTCAAAACCAAGACCTTTGGGAAGAGATGGAGAAAGACTGATGGTCGAGAACTGAATGGGCTCAACATCAAAAACAAGGTGACCTGCGGGTCTCAGGCAGCGCCTCCCCACCCAGCCCTGACCCCCAGCAGCCCTTGGGAAGTGGGGGGAGGCAGCTGGATGAGCAGGACCTGGCAACAAGCACCGTCAACCAACAGGCTCAGTGCCAGGTGTTCAATGGAAAGGCAACACACACTGAACTCACCTTGTGTGGGATTCACACTGGGGCCCCTTCTGGTCCCCTTGAGTGGGAGGTATCAGAAATCCATGATCTAAGACAATAAATATTTATCATTCTGTGCCCTTTGAGAGACAGCAAGGATCAGAGGAAAAATTCTCCCTAAATATGCTTCTGTTGTCCCATGGTTCTTGGAAGGAGCCCTCCAATGCCCTTCCAGCAATTAACTCTTCCCCTTGGGTAAAATCCCCAGGAGCTGGCAGGGCAGGGGCAAAGGTGGGCTTATTCCAGTGTAAAGCTGCAAGGCGCTCTCCAAGGGCGTGCCATGTCCACTGCTGGCAGGTCAAGAGCAACAAGACGCCCCCAACACAGGGCAGGGCTGGGCTGGGGAAGGAGGCCGTGTGCACAGGCCCTGTCCGGACAGGAATCTGGGGGAGAAGCAAGAACAGCTCCAGGGACAACCGCCAGCACAGACGGCCTGAGTCAGGGCAGAGGGTGGGGCAGGAGCAGACTCTGAGGTCCGAAGGACTGACAAACTTCCTCAGGAGCAACCTCACAAAAGCAGGACCTTTGAGACACTCCCTAAAGCAGAGCTCAAAGTTGTCCAAGGGGAGGTGTCAGGTGCTTTTTCCTGGACAAGGATTTGGTCATTTTCTTTCCCGGAAGGGGAACAAGGTCTAGAGATGGGGCGAGTCTGAGCTCTGACCCCGCACCCTCTCTATCCCATGAGAGGAGAGGAAGGCCTTCTCGCCACTCCTGGCCGCTGCTGCAGGTGACGCGGCCACTGAGAGGTGCTCCTGCTGCAGCTGCACGGCCGGCCAGGGCAATGGCACTAGTGCCTCACTGAGGCAGTGAGGGGCGAGGCTGGGGAGTGCAGGCAGAGGTGCCTGCTGCTGGCTGGGGGCTCTCCAAAGGCGGGGGGAGGCGGTGGGGAGGGATCCACCACCTTCAGAGAGCTATCAGCACCAAGATTTGAGAGGGAATGGCATCAAATATGCCAGGAATGGGGGTCCTTTCTAGGGGAAGACAAGGGGCTCCCTGATGTTACCCCTCGAGAGTAAGAACAGGGGTATCTGGTGTGGGGTGAGACGCAGGGGGAGAAAAGCAGTAAGAAGGGATGGAGGAGAGCAGGCGGGGCCTCCGGCTTTTTTCCACGAGTGAAAAACTCGAGTCACTGTCATGAGATCAAGAGGTTAAGCTCAGGATGCAGCCAAGTCCAGAAGCCCAGAGAAGCAAGAGTCTCCACGGCAGGTCCCATTCGACACCTGTTCCTGGTCCTCGAGAGAGAGGGGCAGCCCTCCCCCCAGAGTCAGCTGGTCCCCTGGACAACTCCATGCTAACTGGGGATCCACAAAGGCACAGCCAGAAACAGCCCCCTTGCTTCCCTGTGTTGTGGCACCAAAGACCTTCCCAAGGTCTCCATCAGAGCACTCCATCCACAAAAGACAAGTCTCTCAGAAGCCTCTCTGTGCCCAGATCTTACACCGAGTCCATTTCTCTTTGGGAACTAGCCAGACCCTGACGGAGGGCTCCAGGACTTTCATAGAGGTGGGTATAAATACTCCATTTGTCCAATTGTGTGTGGGGTGGTTGTCAGTTATCCAGCGTAGGGAAGTTGGGGAACCCTAACTCGAGGGCGTAAGAGCCGAGTGAGAAGGCAGCCACTGTGGGAGGATGCACCTCGTGCCCAGGCCTCCGCCAGCTCTTCCTGCAGCATCCTCTCCTCTCGGCTCCCTCCTGGCACTCTGCTCTCCTAGGAGACAGCAGGGGGCAGCGTGGACCACTCCTTCCAGGGTTCTGTGTTCTCAGGGTACAGCCTGGCACGCACAGGGCTGAGGAGGCCACAGCTCTGAGGGCACCTGGCAAGTGGCGTGAGACTAGGGAGAGAACAGGCCTTGGAGAGAGCGTTCTAGCTTGGGTGTTCAGTGGCAGCAGCCACCACAGTGCCCGCCCGTGTGGGAGTGCTGGCTGTCCCCAAACTTGGTCCTCCGGCTCAGGATCTCATAGGAGCAGTCCTCCCCACAGCAGCCGGACATGCTCGGGGAAGAGTCGTCGATTTCAAATCTGCAAGCAGGCAGGAGGAAAGGGTTGGCTACAGGCAGCTAAACACCTTCCTCGCCAGGAGTGAGGGCTCAGGAGGAGGGCAGGGGACCAGGCACTCCCACACCATTTCCCCTACCCCCCAGCCCCATGGACCACTGGACCGGGAGCTCAGGGGTCAGGACGGGGAAAAGACACGGGGGCAGGCAGCTCCTATGGCCCAGACTGTCCCACACTGGGGCCCGGATCCTTACTGTAGCGCTTCTCGGAAGAACTGGTAGGCGCCATGATTGTGCTTAAATACCGTTAACATAACTTTCTTCATCTGGGTGCTGAGAAGAAAGCACAGAGAACCTTACAGAAAGAGAAACAGGTGCTAGATCATACGTCCTCTCTCATGTCTCTGCCTGCTGTCTCCCATTTGCTCCTGAGGTGCATTCCTGAGCCTTGACTCTAGCCCGAGTCTTGGGCGCTCGGTACCTCCCGCCATGATGGGGCCGGTCAGGCCCCACCCGACTGGTGGCCTCTCCTCGTCCTCTCCGTCACTCAGGCCCGGAACAGGCACTCAGAGGTGCCTGCCGCACTGAGCCACATGTGCGAAATCCAGATTCACAGCAGGGCAGGAAGACTTACTGACAGGGTTCTAGATGCCTTTCTTCTAGAACATTCCTATTAGCCTTGTCCCCCACAGGAGATGCCTCAGAGGCAGCTCCTTCCAACTGAGTGACAGTGGGTGGCCCTTACCTGTTGGCCATAAGCTGCAGGATCTGGATGAGGAACTTCCCCAGGCCTTTCCGCCGCACCTTGCTCTCCAACTGCACTTCGTAGCTGGGTAAAGGAAGTCGGGGGTGAGCATGAAGAGGCTGTGAGGCCCATCGAGGTGCCCACGGCCCCGGGCAACCCACTGACCCAGACAGGTGCGCCAGACTCTGCACCAGCTGGAGGGCCTCCCCGCCCCAGCGCCCACTCCAGGCTGGGGCTCCTACCAGTACAGGACTTCATCCCCGCACTCCACATCGAACCGGAAGTGAGAAAAGGCAACAGGGACCGAACTGTTTTCCCAAGCGATGAGATACCAGGCACGGTCATCCGTCATCTCCTCCCGTTTCTCTCGGTCCTTCCAGCCCCACTCACTCTGCTCATACCTGGAAGATGGGGGCCGTCAGGACAGGGACTCTAGGGAGACAGCCAGGCTCCCCTACAGATGGTGTGCTTACATGGTCTGCATGTTGGTCTTGGTCAGGTCGAAGGCCCAGTCCACGGTGGCTGGCTCCAGGCCTGACACCCGCTTACACTCAATGGAGACGTTTAAGCTGAGAAGAGGAAAAGGAGGCATTTGAAGCCAGAGACAGGCCCAGCACTGCCCGCTGCCTGACACCCTGACAACGAGGCACGCCTGGTCACAATTAATCTACAGAGAGAAGCCGAGCCCAGACATGACTACAGAAGGTGCCTGTGAAGGAGCTAAGCCTTTCGGGCCAAGATTAACAACTGTCATCACCCGCCCACCACCCTGACCACAAGTCCCATTTCCTGCCTCCCAAGCAGAGCCTTTATCAGACTCGGCACTTTGTCGACTTCTGTCCCTCTCTGCCCTCTCCACCCTCTCTTCTGTACTTTGTTCTAAACACTCGTGTCTTCTCTGTTCCCTTAGTTCCTGCCCTTAGGCATTTTCCTATTGCTTCCATTTCAGAACCAAGTCCTCACCGGACCCCCTGTGGGACCTCTTCTTTATGATCTACCAATCTCGCCTGTGAAAGTGGCTGGATGACCTCAGGCCCTTCAAGAAGACTAGGGCCCACACCCCCTGAGGAGTCCTGCCTCCTGCTCCCCCTGGGGACAGAGTGGGTGCTCTCAGCTGATCAAACAGGGTGGATCGGGGTCCAATCCCACGCTCTGCTTTCCTACACTAACGAATGCTGCAGGTGTTAAGGTATCAATCTGCTCTTTATTCCTAAATGAATTAAGTAAATCACATGTAAACTCCTTGGCCAAACAGTGAAATTATATTCTCCAGGTGGTGTCACATTCTGAAAGGACTGATACGACTCCTCAGAGGACATCACCACTGGAATCCACCGTCACCTTGGCTGACTGGCACGCTACATTGAGTCGCGCATGTGTGCAGCCTTGTAAATTTGGAACTTCCTGGCTCTGAAGAGCCTTCCTTTCTTTTTAAGTACTGACTGTGTAGTGGTCAGAAAGGCCCAAACACAGCACTGCATCTGTCTTAGTTCTAAATTTTCCAGGGGCCGGTTTTCAGCATAAATTTTCTACTAACCTGAGTTATTTAGGTACACAAAAGTAGGATCACAACTACACAAATCACACACAATTCCAGGCACCAAATGAGCCCAGAGTCAGCCAGCAATGCCTGCGTCAGAGCTGTTCTGTATTTCTGGAGGTCAGAGGGAGTGTGCGATAAGGAACACTGAGAGACATCACAGTAAGGAATCTCGAAACTATGTCAAAGGACTTCCCAGTTGAATGACAGAACTTCTAGAGGAACTGCAAAAATCTGACCACAGACAGGAAGAATAAATTACTGTGATACTATGGAATTCAGACACAGCTATGAAAGGCAAATATACTATTACCTACTATAGCCATTCCCTCTAATTCACATATTCAAATAAATAATTCATGTATCTGTATTTGTCTTACTCATTCATTGAAATACTTTCACATCAGCTGCTACTTAACACAGCTGGATATATTCTCTGTCCTTCTTAAAACAACCCTGCAAGTCTGGTATCATCATTCTATTTAAGATAAAAAATGAGGCTTGAAGAGGATGTTGACTTATCCAAACACAATTAGTAAGAGGTACAGTTATGATTCAAACCCACAGCTATGATTCTATAAAATCACAGCCTGTTTTTTTCCCTCAGCCAACAGCATCCCCTCCCCCCTTTCTGTTCTCTTGGTTTATGAAATAGGTAGCATAATCTGTCTTACCTGAGGTGCTGCTGGCTGAGAGAAAAAACAGATCCTACAGTGAACTGGATTAGTAATAACAGCTAACACTGAGCTAGCTTTTAGTGTGCTCTAGGCACTAACATTTGACATCTAATCCTCCTGATGAGTCCATGAGGAAGGTACTATTATTAGACCCATTTCTGATTCAAAAATTGAGGCACAGAGAGATTAATTTGTCCAGGGTCACAAAACCAGTCAGCAGCTTTTAAAAATTGTACTATATAATCAGGGAAAGAACACTGGACTGGGAATCGAAAGCCCCCTCAGCCGTCAGGGAGAAACTCCACAAGCTCAGACATCTCAGTCTGCTTCTCCAAGCCTCAGTTTCCCCAGTACAAAATGAGAGAGTCAGCCCAGATGATTTTTCAAACTTGTTTCAACTCTCTGCCTCTTCACCCAGAGAAAATAACAAGTCTCAAGGAGACATCAGTCTGAGATTAGGCAATCTTTGCTCATTCGCAGATTCCTTTATCACCTCAACTGGGGGATTTTATATCAACAGGGCACTGGCCATCCTGTCTGCTTTTTCACTAACAAAGAAGAATGAGAAAATGTGGGTCTGAGGAAGCCTCCTCTGAAAGGTGAATTCCTGAGGACACCTGGGGAAATGCAGAACACTCACCCATTCCGATCATATTTCTTGAACACTGGGAAAGCCTCTAAAGGGTCTCCGAGCTGTGGAGGGAAAAAAACAAGGAGTAGTACAAACTCTCACCTGGCAGAGTCACAGGCTCTGCCCTGGAGTCCCGTTATGCTGACCCATGTGTGAGCTCCCAGGCCCAGGAGCAGCCCTTATACGGACCCTCCACCTGCCTCAGCTCTGAAATTACACGTAGGAGGGAGACTCTGGCAAGAAGGCCCAGGTGTGTGAAGTTGGCTTCATTTGACAAGGTGAAGAGAAACTTCACTGCCCAATACTAACACTGGCCTCCGGGCATAAAACCCGCTCACCTGACCCTGATGAGAAGAGAAGGCCCCACCTTGATCCATGAGTACTTCTCAGAGGCCCCCAACTAACCCCACCTGGTCAAAACCCAAAATGGAAAATCATGTCCCTGTGCCACATCCTATTGTGACTAATGAATAACAAAAACCAGGATATGGAACGGGGCAGGAAGGGTGTCCAGAATCTTTCAGGTTCCACTGAAAACAGAGTTGCTCCCAGTCAGACCCACCACGTGCTCAGAATCAGTTACTTCTCCCCGACTGTGGTCCCTGGAAACCAGGCCGCTGCGTCCCCTGGTCCCCAGCACAGCCTGTGGTACCTCATAGGCGTGCAATAAATGTTTGAAGGAAAGAATGAGAAAAAGATACCACATTTTACCAGTGAGGATTCCTCCCCAAAATGCAAAACCCTAACAAAAATTTCTCCAGACCCTCTTCTCCTGGTAAGGAAGGAGCCCCACAGAGAAAAGCAGCCACTTCCACTTGAATCCACACTTTCCTGCACACCTGGCCCTTCTGGAACCTCTCCCAGCCTTCTAGCCAGGCTGCTTTTCCTCAGCAGCAAGGAGGCAGCAGAGGCGTGAGTGGGCAGTAACACAATTCTGCCACAGGGTGGCACCAAAAGAAGTCAAATTAAAAACCAAGCTGAAGTTCCAGGAGGAAGGGACTGGGAAGGAGGGGAGAGTCACCCTGTTGGCGGCATCCACTTTGGCACAGACAGCATCCATGGCAGCTCGCTCCTCCAACCGCTTCTGTTTCTTCTCCTTTGCTTTGCTCGATTTCCTCTGTAACAGGGAAAAGCAAAGGTGGCTGGAAGGCTGTGGCCAACCAAAAACTTGACTTTCCCTTTGGAGAACCAAAGGGTCAGCCCCTCATGTATAGGCCTGGTCTCAGCAGCAGGACACAGATCCTGGCTGCCGCATCCTTGGCTGAGTAGGAAAGACCCAAGCACTTCCAAGTCATGAGAGTGTCACCAGGCTTCTTAGCTTCCCTATCTGGAAAAGGACTGACCCTTGGGACCACTGGATCACTTGTGAGGGCCCAGAGAGAGTAGGTGACACTTGCAGCAGAGCCTGGCCCCCAGCAGCTGCCTGATAAATATTCACTCACTGATTCCCTCCTAAGGAGGGGACAACTAATTTTGGACACATTCAGGGCAGGTTTCAGGGAGGCAATGACATCTGAGGTAGGTGCTGAAGGCTGTTCTAAGTGTATATTTATTCAAAGCCTTTTAAGCGTCTTCTGACTTCAGGAGACAAAGATCTGGTCGGGGGGTGGCCCCTTTGGGAGCTGGGTCCCATTTTTAAGCGAGGGTCAGGGCACTCTGGCTGAAGGAGACAGGGTTGTTCCCAGGAATGGCTGCTCAGCCAAGGCCAATGAGTGGCAGGCACAGTGAGCACTTAGTGGCAACAAGGGGAGAGTGAAGGGCCCCAAGGGGTTCATCTGGGGACAGAGGCCATACGGACACGTGGTCAGCAAAGCCAACTTGCAGGGCACACAGGCAGCAGGGGAGGAGCAAAGGGAGGCTGTCCTTACACAGAGAAACAAACTACAAACTGCCCATAACTGCACTCAGAGCAGATCCTGTTTGGAGACTCATGTCAGGTTTTCTCAAGTCTAAATGGACTCTTACCCTCTTATAAAAACTGGTAACACAGGGAAAAGAGATCAAGGTCTGCGGTCTGACAGACCTTGTCCAGAGCCTATTTCTGCCCTTTACTCCCTGTAGGTCTTAGGACGAGACACAGCCATTCTCTGAGCCTCCTTTCACCTCATGAGCAGGTCCGCTGAAGGAGTAAGCCCATGAGGGTTACTATGGCCTGCGCTCAATAAATGACGGTCCTCATTCTCACTCCCAAGGAGGAGCTTAACAGTATACGTAATCAGAGGTGCTTGCCCACCCAGCCCAAGTCCAGAAGGCACCCCAGAGGCACTAGGAAGATGCTTCTGCTTTTTCCCAATCGCACTGCCTCTTCTGACCCCACCCCTCACTTCCCTGACCTCATCAGAGACAGGTTTCACTTTCTCCAATCCCACCTTAGCTCTGATGCTGACTGGCCCAGGAAAGCGTGAGTTGAAAAACCAGCGGCTGGATAAATTCTACCCTTGGTTCCCCAAAGAACAACACTGCTTAACTCCTACTTCAAGCAACCAGGAGGCAAGAGTTCCAATACCAGGAGCGCACAGGAATTTCTCTTCCTGGTATAAACTTGACCAACACCAGCTGTTTACTACCTGCAGGCGGAGCACTGTGCGGGAAGCCGGGCTAGAGCTCATTTCTTACCTCCCTGGAGGAAGGAACAAACAGACGGGAACAGACTGCCTTCGTACTGCTGGGATCTGGGGACAGAACAAGCCCCTCTCTACCACACAGAGGTTTCAGAGCATCCATATTTTCTCTGGGAATTTGGATTTCAAGACAACATTGAGAGATACACTGATCTTACAAAACACTTTCATAAACATTATCTGGTTCAATTCTCAGGGCAGAAACCACCACCTCATTTACACGTGAAGAAACTGAGGCTCAAAGGGATGGCGTGACTCATTCAGAGGCCCCGAGGGGAGACAGCAGAGGGGGGACTCACCCCAGGGGCTGGGCTGCAGAGCCAGCATTTGTTCTCACCGTGCTGCCTCCCACCAGGAGAGCCTACCCCAGCATCAAAAACCTTCCTAGCTCTGCCAAGATAAGGTCACAATGAGACCTCAGGAGCCCTCAAGGCAGCTACTTGGCCACTCATTTCTCATTACCCTGCCGGCTTGGTAACAGCTGACATGACATGCCAACACGGCGCCGCCCCAGACCTACCTCCATACTGAGGCAAAGTAAGGAACAGGGAAACCTGAGGCAGAGGGTCACCAGGGCTGTGTGATGGGGCAGAATGAACATGAGCTTTGGCGTCAAACAGGCCAGGCCATTGCTCCTCCTGCCACCCCCTGCGTGACTTGTGAGAACAACTCTATGACCAGGAAAATGGGGATGCCACTGCTGGCCTCAAGGAACAGCTGCCAAGGACAGGTCAGAAGTCAGCATGCCCTCATGATAAAGGCAGGCTCTCTGCCTCCACCCTGCACATCAGCTCTCTTTGCATGACACAGAGCTGAAGGATGGAGGGTGCTGGAAGGAAAGTGTGACTCAGGGGACCCAGAAAGCACCAGAAATGTAGGTCCCCTCCATAGTGTCTCATTTCTAAGCACAAGAGGTAAGTAATTCCTAAGCACAGCAGCAGGAGGGCCAAGCCCAGCTCCCAGGAAGTTTATGGGCTCATTTCTGCAGGGGAACAGGTGAGCAGGTAACTCTCAGTGAGGCTTGGGGCTGCCATGGCCTGAGACTTCGGATAATGAAAGAGCCCCGTATGCATCTTGCTGCCTGCATGCAGGGCACGAGGCAGGCTGCAGCAGGCTGGGCCAGACAGGCAGGGCCCTCCAGCAAACCTAGCACACCCTAGGAAAAGTGGTCTCCTACTGTTCCAATTAGCTCTGCCCTGCCTTATGGAGGTACGACTACCCTGCAGGGACGCAGGAAAATTCTCCTAATTAAAATGGGAAATAAGTACAGTGAACAGTAAAGCTCATTGCGGTTAAGTGTCTTTCCCAAGGGAGCTTTATATAATAAAAAGAGTGTGGGATTTTGAGTTGAGAGACCCAGATTTCATTCTCAGCTCTTCCACTTAATAGCTGTGTGACTTTGGGCAAGTTACTTACTCTCTTTCCAGCAAGTTACTCAGTTTCTCCGAACCTCAATTTCCTCATCCATGGGCTCACAATGCCTATACCTTGCAGGACTGCTGTGAGGACAAAGTGATACAATGTACTAGATACAAAAATTCTTTATTGTAAGGACTTTGTTTACAAGGACCTATTAGTGTAGAACACTCTGCTGGTGCTTTAATAAAGATGATTTACCTTAATTTTTGCAATAACCCATTAAGGTATGTGTGCCTACTTCTCTGATGAGGAAACAGGCACAGCGAGGTTAGATACTTTTCAGGGTCACAGAGCCAGTGAACAGAATTCTCAAAGAGGTCTTTCTACAGCCCTCTTCCTCCACTCCCCCTAAACTGCACACCCCATGAGGTAGAGGAGAGGTCACATCTGCTTTATTTGCTGATGTGGACCCAGCGCTCAGCAAACGCTAGGTACTCAGTTCATACCTGCTGAACGAATCCTCCAAGATTCAAATCCAGGTCCTTCCACTACCTCAACTAAATCTATGTGGCACTTGTTACAAAGTGTGATGAAACGTTTTCACATGCAGCTATGAAAACTCATCCCCTATCAAAGTAGCATCTCTATGACTGCTAGTCATAATAGCAGCTCCAGGACTGCTAGGGGTCACACAGAGAAATTAAAAAACAAAAAAACACCCAGACGGGGGCATGGGGCACCTTTCAGAAAAAGGATTTGGCATCCCTTAGGTTTTCAGTATCAATGCCTCCATCCCACAAAGAATCCAGAATCCAGGAAAAAAAACAAAACAAAAACAAAAACCCCTCTGTTTCTGGCAAAGGGAGACAGAGCTCTAAATTCTAATTCCTAAAAGACAACTTACATGTGGCAGCAAGCATGAAAGGACTTTGAAGAGAACGGTGCTCCACCTGAGGCCATTCTCTCTTAGCCTGTGGTCTAGGCCGTCAAATGGAGCAGGGCCCTCTGCTGGAGGGTGATCACTAGGAACCATGACCTTCTGACACTGTGGTGGAGAGTCCATAGCCCCCACCCACGAGGAATGAGGATAACGAGAGGGTTCCAGCTGTTTCAGGGAGGAAAATTCAAGTCTCTTTTGCAGTGAGCGTTAGGCCAGAAGAGAGAAGGTAGACGCTGTTCTGAGAAACACACCTGCAAACTATGAGTAATAAGATCAGGGCCCTAAAGGAAGCAGTGAGGATCGCAGGATCTCAGAGGCCTGCTATTTCAACTCAGCCAATGAGGAAGTACTAAACCAGAATGGCATGTTATGCTTCTTGTTTTCTGTTCAGTCTGGAGTGGCTGGTGCTGGATAGACATTTACCAAGTAATACCAGGGACACAAGGTTTTACTTAGTTTGAGCAAGAGCTGGGGTCTGGGGCCTTTCACTAGAATCTAGGTTAAATATGCCTAAGGTCTCTAGACTTGATTTTCTACACAGGAAGTACACAGTATCCAAAAGTCCTTGTTGAAACATGATGGTGTTTTGACATGGATTACATAAAGTGCTTTGACATGGATCAGACAACTGTTTTTGTCTAACAAGTTGATTTATTCAGTCAATAACTGAGTGGAGAGGGAAAAAAATCTAGGTTAATAACAGTAGAGACAAACCCAATGGGTTAAAAATAGCACAAATCTATTTTAGATAACTGAAGGCTGAGAATACAGGCAAAAATAACAGCCACTCTTTAAGAGGCACCTATGTGGCTATCTACATCCACTATACCATTTTATCCTCACATCAGTCCTAAGAGGGAGGTATCATCATCCTCATTACACAGGTGAAGACGTTCAAGTCCACAAAGGCTGTGTCACTAGCACAATATCATGCCGCTAGCCAGAGAAGATGGGGCTGAAACTGAGGTATCTCTGGCTCCAAAGTCAGGGCTCCCTAACACTGGTGGAAAGTTCATGTAAAAACCAGGATACCTGGTACCGGGAGGGCCGGTTATATTTTTAGGAGAGTGGCTGATGCTATTCTAATTGGAACTCAGGTGACCACACAGGACATGCCAATAACTTCTGCCCAACCCTCTATCAGCACAGGCCAGGGAAGGGCAGAAGATGCACCTCCAGGCTGCCTTGTGCGTAACAGGTGTCATTATCCATCCGCAGCTGGGCCATCACCAGGGGACCCTCCATTACGCCCCTACTCATCTTCCGCACACCTCCCCCATAAAAAGCCACCTGCAGAACGAAGGCTACTAACAGCCTAGGTAATAATAAGACCCATTTCAGTGCATCTGGTAGGCCTTGAAGGTGGCCTCTGCCGAAAAGGAAGAGAGTGTTTTTGGAGCAGGAGGAACCTGGTGGAGAGGTTTCGAAAGAGATTCGGGAAACTAGCTTCGCTGAGAAGACGAGTAGCGGGAAGCACAGCGGCAGGGATTCAGGAGCCCTGAGTCGGGGTCTGGTCCCCAGTCACTGCCCGTGTGACCTTGGCTGGGTGCCTTCTTTCCTCTGGGCCTCGGTTCCCTTCCAGCCAGTGTTGGCCCAGGATGTGGGAAACCACGAACCCGGTGACAGCCGGGTGATGGGACTCCTGGGGGCGGGGAAGAAGACCCCAAGGACCGCGCGGGGGCAGAGGGAGACCAAGAAGACAACACGTCCTGAGGAAGGCAGGGGCGGGCGCGACGCGAGGGCCGGGGGCACCGGAGGGGGTGGGGCCAGAGGAAGAGGCCTTCCCCAGGAGATTCCCAGGCTGGGCCGAGAGTGGGGACACTTCAGACTTGGGGAGTCGGGTCATGTGGGGGTCTGGAGGTCACGTGAGGCTGGAGGGGGTCGAAGTCACGTGAGAGAGGGTTCAAGGACAATGGGGGCACAGGGGGCAGGGGAGCGGGTAAAGCCCTTCCGGCCCTCGTGTCTCCCCTCCTGCCTTACACTCACCCCAATGGCGGCAACGGACGGCGGCGGCCCTCAGCTCCTCCTTCCTACA